AAAGTATTGATGCGATATATTAATCCCAATTTCTTATATGATCAGTGAATATTTTTGCAAGGGATTCTATTAATATTCTATTAAACCTTTCAACTAGTCTATTAGTTTATGGATGAAATAGAGTCGATATTCTATGTGATATTTCGAATTTTTGTAAAAATTTATTAAGTAGTTGATTGTTGAAATGTGTTTCTCGATCTGTAAGAATTCTACAGAACATTCATGTTTACAAATAATATCTTCATAGATAAACTTAACAGTTGATTTTGCATCCACATTTCTTACAGGTTTCGCTTCTGACCATTTGTTCAAGTAATCCATAATGACTATTATGTATTTGTTTCCTTTACTTGATGGTGATAAAGATTCTACATAATCTATTTCTATACAATGAAATGGTTTTCCTATTAGAATTAGATGTAAAGGTTCGATTCTGGAGGCTCTTTTTTCTTTGGTAACTATCACAAGATTGTATATATTTTCTAATGTCATCAAACATTTGTGGCTAATAAGTATGTGCTGCAGTAGAATCATTATGAAACATATAAAAAGCAGGTTCTACTTCAAATCTTCTAAGTGCTCTTATGAAATCATTTGTATTATTACAATTCTTTTTGTATAAAAGTTCGTGTTGAACATGATAATATTTTAATTGTGTTTTTAATTTGTTTTGTTGGATTTGATTAAAGTTGTCAGGATATTCTTCTTTAGTTAAATATATTAATAAATTATTATATAATAGTTTATCTATCTTGGCTGTTCGTCATATTGTGAGCACTTTTGTTTTCACCAAAATGAATAAATAATAAAAAGAATAAAAGAAAAATAAAATAATAAGTTAAAAATAATGTTTTTGTGAAGGTTTGAAATCTAATCTTAATCAAGTTCAACAATTAACTCTTCATTGAATGAGTTAGCGATTAAGTTTTGTTGTAAATATTGTAAGTATATAAAATTATTTTCAATCATAACTGCAAGGAGTTCTTTCCACCAAGGGTTATTAATAAGGAAACTTAGATCTATATCCGATTAAATTTTCCTAATCTATAACCAATAGTACAGTCATGAATAACAGTTTCATAATGTAAATTTTTCTTGCATAATTTACAATAAGTGTGAAGATGATGATTTTCTGTATCACAAGTGAAAGTATACTGTGATCCTTCTTTAGTTATCAGTTGATTAGCAATAACTTGTTTAACTTTAATATTTGTATAATAGATTTCCTTCATTTCATTTTTTGGGATTTTATAACCAATTATAGTGATTAATGGTGTGTTAGAATACTGTTGTGCTAATTCTTCTTTAAACCATTTTTCTTCATTAATTTGAGAATTAATTTCTGATGCAATATGCCATTCTGTTTCTTTTTCACTTCCACCATTATTATTCCATTGATATTTATTATTATTAACATTAGATGATTCATCTAATATTTCAAAGCATTCAGTTGGATTTTCATCTTCATCATACATATGAGATAATGCATCAGCATTAGTGTTATGTTTTTCTGCTTTATGTTCAATAGTAAAATAATGTTGTTGGAATTCCATTATCCATTTTGCATGTCTTCCTTTTGGCATTTTAGAAGTTTTTAACCATTTTAATGCAACATGGTCAGTTACGATTGTGAATAGATGACTTAAATAATGGTAAAAATGTTTAATGGACTAAACTATGGTTAAATATTTCAAATTAGTTGTAGAATAATTTTCTTCAGCCTTATTTGTCGATTGACTGGCATAGGTGATAACATATTCTTTTCTTCTTTCTTTTGTGAGAAAACTGCTCCTAATCCTTTTTTGATGCATCAGTATATAATATAAAAGAAATATTGAAGTCTAGATATTGTAAAATTAGCATTTTACAAGTCTTTCCTTTAATCGATCAAAGGAATATTGGATTTTTTCTTTCTAATTAAAGGGTTGGTTCTTTTTTAGTAACATAGTTAAAGGCTTTGCATGTTTGGCAAAATCTTTTATAAATTTTCGATAATATCTAAATAGTCCTAAGGCTGCACGTAATAGTATTAAAGGTTTTTGACTTAGGAAACTCTTTAATTTTTCTGATCTTTTCAGGGTCAGGTTGGAGTTCTCCTTGTCCTACTATATGTCTAAGAAAAGTGAGAGAAGATCAATAAAAATGACATTTCTTCAGTTTAATTGATAATTATGCATTTTGTAAGGCTTGAAATACTTGATTGATTTGATCGATATGTAGTTTAAATGGTTTTTTTGTATAAATAATTACATCGTCCAAATATACTGCTACAAAGATTCTGATAAAATCTTTTAAAACCCAATTTATTAACCTTTGGAAAGTGCCTGATGCATTATTTAGTCCAAATGGCATTACAAGAAATTCATATAATCCATATATTGTGATGAATGCAGTTTTTTCAATATCATCTGCATGCATGGTCACTTGCCAATATCCACTAGCTAAGTCTAAAATAGTGAACTAATGAACTCTACCAAGAAAGTCTAATAAGTCATCAATTCTTGATAATGGATAAGCATCAATTTTTGTTACTGCATTAAGTTTTCAATAATCTATGCAAAGTCTTTTATCACCTCCTTTTTTTCTAACTATCACAACTGGTAAGACCCATGGACTGTATAAAGATTAGATTATTCTGTTTGTTTTCATTTTCTTTAGTTCTTCATTTAAAAACTTAGTATCTTCTAGGTTTATTCAGTAAGGTTTTTGAGCAATCGGCATTGCATTACCAGTATAAATGCGATATTTTATCTTTTGATTTCTGTTTGACTTTTTGCACAGATGTCAACATATTCACTCAAAAGGTCTTAGAATAATTGTTGTTGATAATAGTCTAATGATTCAGTTTGTTCAAATGGAATGATTTCTTCATCTGCTACATATTCAGCTGTTTCAGCAAGAAAGATTGCTAGATTAATTTTCTTAGAATTAACTCCTAATTCTTCCTTGTCAGTATCATTTTCTGAATTAATTGGGAAATAATGATTATTTTAGGGGTTGAATTCTAGTTTGCTATTATTGTTAAATTCTGATTCACTGTTATCAGATTCAGATTTGAATTGTTATCAGAAAAATAGATGGGATATTCTTTTAAGTATTCATCCTCAAAATCATCATCATCATCTATTGCCTCTTCTTCTTGAGTTTTTACTTTAGCAGTTTTAGTAAAGGTAATGGGAATTCAGATTACATATTTTCCTTATTTTATTGTTAATATTAACTGTTCCCAATTCATGTTGGCACTTGTTTCTTTAAGCCAATTATTTTTGAGAATAAGAATTTCATCCTTTGATTTCAAAACTTGAAAAGAAATGAGAATTTGAATCTTTCCAATATTGACTGGTACATTATCGACAATTCTAAGGGAGCGAGTTCTAGTTCTATTAGCAGTGACTACAATCATTTTTGAAGATCGATTAATTATGTGTCCAAACCTATATAATAAAGATTTGGTAATTATGCTTGTAGCAGCTTCACTATTGACTATAGCAGTTTGTGCTTTTTGTCTAATACAAAAGTGTACATTTAGCAGCATTAGTTGGTTCACCATCACTTTCTACTAAATTAGTTTCTTTTGCATCTTTCTCCATTGATCGCCTAACAGCTTGAGCTAATCCTGATCGATACTTTAGTATAGCATGGGCTGCTTATCCTACAAAAAGTCCACATAGTAAGTTTTGTAGATAAGTAGAAACATTAAATTCTGTAAGTTGTTCGATTGGGACTGGTAACAAATGATGTTATGGAGATTTTCAGCCTTTTCTGTGACCATTGGTTCAGGTGTAATTTGTTTAGGTTCTATTTCTTCTTCAAGCATGTTAGAACTATAGTATTGAGTCATAATAGGTCTTAAAAGCTCTTCTCTTTGGGTTGTATGGGTGTATTTGATGTGGGATTATACTGTAAAATTGATGGAAGAATGAATGGAGACTTATATCAAGACATTTTGAAAGATGAGTTCCTTGGAACTCTTAGCGCATGTGATTTAACTGTAAATGATGTCATTTTCCAACAGGATAATGATCCAAAGCATACACAATCGAATGGTTTGATGACAATCATGTTAAGGTTTTGGATTGGCCAGCACAATCGCCAGACTTAAACCCATTGAACATTTGTGGAATGAAGTTGATTGTCGTTTGCAACAGCTTCCTGATAATATTACCAGTGCAGAAGATTTGTGGAATAAGATTCAATTAGTATGGAATCAGATTGATGTTGATGTTTGTTTAAAATTAATTAATACAATGCCACAACGGGTTAAAGATGTTCTTAAGGCTGGTGGAGGTGGTGATTGGATTTTTAAAAAAAATTCAAATAGGGTTAGTTAGAAATTTTATTGAAAATTACGTAATCAAATTTTTTTTTTGATATATGCCAAAAGTATTGCACCGCAAAGTTTTGGTGATTCAAGATTTTTTTTTTTAAAAAGTCAATAATATGTAAATTAAATTTTAATAAATAATAAAGAAAGTCTGAGGTTTAATAATTAATAAAATTTTTTTTTATTGTATGATAAATAGATTTAACGATATTACAATTTAAAAATTTAAATGAAGTGGTGCAATAATTATGGAAGTCACTGTATATATAGTCTATACTATATAAATTTTCACCGGTCGTCTTTTTTTTTTTTTTTGGTAACAATATAATTAACGGTGTTAAGTATATATATAGACTGTGCTTTTATTTGCATTATCAATAATGTCGTCTCACTTTCTACGAAATTATAATAATCAGGCGATTTAGAGTTTAGAAGTGCATGTGAAATTTCTTATCAAAACACCGATGATACAAACTTGCATAACTTACATCATTAATTTGAAATTTTTGAAATAAAATCACTCGTTAGAGCAAAAACGAAGATCATGTGATCACAGCCACCTCAATTACCTTTCTTGGAAACAAAAACCAATTTTTTTTGATATATCGATATTATTTGATACTTTTGACAATCTAACAACATTCACCTCATTTTTTTTTTTTAAAACGAAAAAAAAATGGGTGAAATCGCAAATACGTTTATCTGGGAAATTGGAAGTTTTCAAGATTATGTTAAAAAAATATCTCATGGAGATTCCTTTTCTAGTACAAAATTTTGTATGCCACAAAATTGTCAAAAAAAAGATGGTATCAAACCTACTTTATGGCAATTACATTTATATCCGAATGGTGATTTCGGAGCCGGAAATTATATTTCGGTATCTCTTGAAGCAATTAAGACACCATTTGAAATTTCAAATAATATAAACGAAAGGGAACAAAGACACAAGATTGGAATTGGGAAAATTGTTGACAATAAATCATTCATGTCAAAAAATTTTATCAAAAAAGTTACAGGGATCAAACATAATTACAATTTCGATAACCCACCTGCAACTTGGAGCCTTGACCAATTAATTTCATTGAACGCAATTTTTCCTGATGGAAATAAATTCAAATCAATTGACATATTTATTCAAATTACATTTATTGACTTTGAAGAAAGTTTTGAAAGGAATGAGATTTTATATGAAAAATCAGAGAAAGCTTTTGGAGATGAAGATTTGACGGATATCGAATTTAATTTTGATTGTGATAAAATCGTTAAGGCACATCGTGTGATTTTAGCTATGGGATCCAAATATTTTAAAGAAAAATTTCAAGGAGAGTGGAAAGGCAAGAAAAAAGTAACAATTGAAGATACATCTTGTATGGCATTTCGTGCTGTTATTTATTTTATTTATACAGGAAAATTGATGTATGAGGGATGTGGATGTTGTATTCTTGTTAACATTCATATTGAAACTCGTAAATTAGCTGATATGATGGGATTAACGAAGTTAAAGTGCTTAGTTGCAAAGGAAATGCCTAAATCTTTAAATGAAGGTAATTGGGACAAATTTTTATTGATAGGATGGAAAACTAACGATAAATTTTTAAAAGATATCGTATTGGAATATGCCGCAAAGAATTGGAGAAAGTTCAAGAAAGGTAAAGGGTTAAAACGGTTAGTTTCTGCTGCGAGCGATGAAATGGAAGTAATTGAAGAGTTGGTTTCTATTGCTAATAAAAGAAAGCAAATGGCAATTTGGTAATGATTGCAAATATTATATTTTGCCGAATTATGAGTCGTCCTACGATTCAAATAAATAATATTTATTTATTTTCTTAAAACTTTCTACAATTTTTAAATGTATCAAGTATAAAAATGTATTATGTCAGAATATATTCTCCTAAATTATGAATTACAGTTCATAAAAAAAAAAGTTTTAAAAGTTTTATAATGGAAAGTTCATTTTAAAAAGGTGGTTTGAGAAAAAATTTATATATCAAGATAGGTAAAGAATTCGCTTAACGAATTGCTGTACATTAAAATCTGTTGGAGCTTCCTAATTAAAAATTTACAATTTTGAGATAAATTATTTTTTTTTTTTGACTTTTTATTTTCTTTCTTATGATAACGTTTTAATGAAATATACAGTATAAATAATTATTACGCGAGGATTCAAAATCTTTTATTTTGAAATTTAGCAACTTTTAGGGACATAACGCCGCAGAATTTTCTTTAAATGCAATATTTTATCTTATGTAAGGATCATTTGATATACTATAGTATCGTAACCTAATTTTAATAGCAAACGACCACATATTCACGTGATATTCGTAAGAACTATTCTGAGAAAATGTTCAATTTATTGTAGAAGAGCAGATTTTATCAATCATGTCAAAAATTTGCTTGGCTTTCGATTTCTAGTTGTAGTGTAGTAATTTTTCTATATACAATAAACTTTTTATAAAATCACCAAATTGACTTAAATCACAGAATACAAGGGTTTACTATTTATAATTGTGAAATAAATTTATAAAATTGTTTCAGTTACCAATAATACAAATTAAATTTCTTATAATTTCTGATATTTTATAACAATAGAAGCTAATGCTAGATATAAAGAATTCAATTAATTATATTTGTGTATTCAAATATTTCAAAGGTCAAAATATACTTTTGAATAATCTACCAACTCATAACTAACATTATAGAAACTATAGAAACCAACGAATAACCAAACTCTTCGAGTTGAGAATGGAAATTGATCCCAATGCCTCAAAAGCCTTATGCAGGAAAAAGCTGTAGCGGCAAACTCGATAAATGACTCATCGTCACTTTGTCGCAGGTTGTCAATGTTGCTAAACAGAGAATAATTTTATAATCAGACATTTCTTTCATACCAAAAAAACATTCCGCTGAATACATGACAAACTTAACCTGTATGTAATGTTTCGGGCTCATTAATTCGAAACCTAAATCCTAATTATAAATATAAATCGTACAAATCCGATAAGTCCTAAACCCTCCGAAACCAATAAAATGTTATAAATGTTATAAAATCAGTTCAAAACGCAACACAACATTTATCTTTTTTTATCACCACAAAAATGCATCAAATACCTAAATAGTAATTAATAAATAATATTTTTTCTTTGAAATAGGATGGATTTTTATTGCGTATATATATCTTTATCCTTCAATATTTTTAACATTGCGATTCATTTAAATAGACAAAATAATAATGTGTAAAATGTAGCTTATTAAAGACTTTAATAAAGTTTTATTCATGATATTTATTTAATACATAATATTAATTAATATATTACAATTTATTAGGTTTCGGCTTCAATATTTTTTTGGAGCCAATCAGCTTTTGAAGGGTCCGATAATAAAAGTATTCCAAATGATTTATAATTTTATTATAAGATTATATCAAGTGTTTTTTCTGAAGAACATTCTGGCTTTGCTGCGCCATAGTTCTGAGTAAATTTATTTACGTCACTTAACGCACGTCTGCAATCTGTGCCATTTTATGTCGATCCTGTGACATATAAGAGGTCAAAAGTGGTCAAACGATTGGAGTGACGATTATGATTTCCTTAACAAAAAACTTTCAAAGTCCCCAGAATACTTAGTAAAATGAAAATAGCGGTCGTGTGACGTGGCGTGATAAATAAAAGGGTACCCACATAAAATGGCACAGAACGTTTTAACGATCGTCTAACCTGAAATCGGCTAATTAAAACTTAGATAATCACAATGAACTTGTATGTTTTTGAATTGCGTGTAACATCGCCAGAATAATATATATATAGAAAGCGTTGTTAACAAAAAATTTTTCAACATTTGAATAATCGCTTTTTTTTCAATTGTAAAACACATCTTGTGTGACGGTGTTATATTTTAAATAATATGGCATTTAAACATAATGTACTTGGCGAAGACGTAATTAATCAAATCAAAGATTTTGATCGTTATCAATTAACCGCAGAACAAAATTCACTGATTAATAAATTAATACCTGATGAAAAGTTGAGAGAGCGTTACATGTATTATGGATTATGTGAGATATGCGGTCAACCTTACACTAATGGTGGAGTTATGGTCGTATCTTGGTGTCATTCTTGTAATTCGAAAAGATATCAACAAGATTTTGATAAATGGACCAGTGGCAATAAAGATGTTGATGAATTGATACAAAAGACACAATTAAGCGCAAATAGTCATTATGGAGTTTTAGACTGGATACCTTATGAAAATCTTACGGATATTGGGTACCTTGCGGCGGGTGGATTTAGCACTGTTTATAAGGCTAAATGGATCGGAGGTCCTAGTTTTGATAATTGGAACGTCAAGAACATCGATGTCAAAGTGGATGTGGTCTTAAAACATTTAAATAATTCCCAAAATATCACCGAGGAATTTTTACAAGAGGTAAAATATATACATATTTTTTTTATGATCGAATTTATGAATTATATTTAATCGCGATTTTTTGTTTCTTTATAGATTATTTTATATAAAATAATGAAAGAATATATTACCAAATGTTATGGAGTTTCTCAAAATCCGATTACCAAACAATATTTGATGGTGATGGAATCTTTTAATGATGGGAATATGAGACAATACTTCAAAAATCATCATAATAAATCAAGTTTTACAAATAAATTGCATTTATTACTTTGCATATCATGTGGATTGCGTAAAATTCATAATAAAGGATTCATTCATAGGAACCTTCATTCCGGTAATATTTTAATGTTTGGTAATCAAATATGTCGAATTACCGATTTGAGGTTATGTCGATCAGTCATCGAACGAAATGATGATGATAATGAAATGAAGCTTTGTGGGGTCTTACCTTATGTCGCCCCGGAAGTTTTAAAAGGAAGAACGTATACTCAAGCGGCTGATATTTACTCTTTTGGAATGATCGCACATGAAACGATCTCCGAGTTACCACCGTATCATGATATAGCTCATGATGAATTATTGGCTTCGAGAATATGTCAAGGACTTCGACCGAAATTTAATCATATCAAAGTACCACTTAAGTTGGAGAACTTAATCGATCAATGTTTAGATGCAGATCCATTAAAAAGACCGACAGCTTTTGAATTATGCAACCTTTTATCCAATTGGTATGATGAAGTTGTGAATAATAAAAACACTGAATTTGATAGGCAATTTAAAGAAGCCGATGATTTTAATACATCATTAACATCAAGTACAACGATAACCACAACGATACATCCTCAAGCTGTTTATACAAGCAGAATTTTGAATTTTGAACAACTTCCTGAACCGCAAAATTAAAAGTTTCAAAAAGTAAATTTTTTAATAATATTTTGTTTACTTAAAAAAAAAATTTTATATCACTAACAATGTTATAACGATAACTATTTATAATTTAGATCGGTTGATGAAGAAAATTTTAATTGGTCAAATCATTGAAGACTTTCTTTTATCTTTAATGAAAAATTTTGAAAATCATTTATTTATTTAAAAACTTTTCAATTCTTTATGTTGTAGTATATAAGAATAAACATTATATTTTTAAATATTAAATGTGAATAATTGGGTTATTTATAATTTATATATAAAGATCGTATATTTAATTTCTGCGTCCTAGAATTTGAGTATTGCAATTTTAATAAATCAAAGAACAATATTGAAAAAACGCGTTCAATGAGAAATTGACCATATAAATCTTCTGTAAAATAATAATGACTTCCATCAAAAAAAAAAATTACAACAGCTAAAGCAGTTACTGTCTGCGTGGTTACTTGTGTAATTATCTTTGTTCAACTTATTCTTTTTTAAGCTTCTACTAATAATAATGTTGATATAATTACAGTCCGAATGGTCCAATTAGGGTGTCCAGGATCCTTGACACATCTGATTTTATTTTCACACATTTACTTCTATCATTAAGAAGAGATAAAGATCATGTGTATACCAAGACATATGGCAACGTTTAAATAATGAATCGACCCAATAAATATGTTTTAACTGTATATTACATTGTTCTTCAAAGCTTAGCATTTGCAAAAAAAGTAGCTTAACAAAATTAAAGTACCAGTCACAGCTAATGTGAAAGAATTTGTAGATTTCAAAATAATTTTGGGTCTACAAAATTTTATTCTACCCACCGAATATTATATGATAACTTTGTTATTTTTTCCTCAAAATTTTAAGGATATATTTAAAATCGATACTAGAAGATGATTTTGTTAAAAATTTTATTTTATAATGAAAATTTATAAAACCAAATATAGTTTTAGTATTAGATAAATTCATAAAAATACAAATAAAAAATGAAATTATGATATTATTGAATATTTACTTTTTATTGCAAAATATCAAATATTCAAATAACAATAATATGTAATTTTTTTATATGTTAAGCATTTTAAGAAATTTAAGACTGTTTTAAATTTTAAATTGTCATATTATATCCCAATATTTTAAATTATATAATTAAAAATCAAAATTAACCATTTTAACTTTAGAGAAAGTATTACTGTTACTAATAAATTTATTTAAAAAATTAGAAATATTAGTTATTTCAATAATTATGTCACAAATTTATTTGAATTGATTATAATTAAATAATATATATTACAGCTAATTTCATAATTCGTGGACCACTAATAAATTGCGACTGAATGTGACTGAAAATATTTTATAATAAAATTACTAGAAAATATTGTGACTGAATGTGACTGAAAAATTATTAATGTCCATAAATTATGAAATTAGCTGTAATATTATAATTAATAATTTTTTTTATATAAGTAAGGGTTTAAAAGATAATGCTTATCATAAAGCTGCTTTAGCTGCAATTGAAATATGACAAAGTTTTGATCATACTCGTAAAGAGAGTAAAGAATTAATGGCTCAATTTCGTAAATTTGAATCAAAATAAAGATGAGGGATGAAACTCAAAAAAGGCGATTAATAAACAGCCGAAATTATATTAAAACATAGTGAGGAGTATGATGAAATCCGAAATTAGCTGAAACTATATTAAAAACATAGTAAGAGATATGACAAAATTATTTTGAGGGAGTTTCGGCTGGCATCTTTAAATCAAAACTTACTTCTTTTGACTTTCTTATATTTCTAATCTTGAATCTCCTAAATTATAGTAGGGATCAATTAAAATACAACCACAGCATTTGGTTGAACTTGCTTATTAAATTTTTGTTATCATTCCAACTCAAGTAAATTGTTAAAGAAATTTTTCAATTCTTAATTGGATTTTAGATAAAAATTGAACTAATTTAACTTTAAATAACAAATTATAGCTAAAATTCGATCTTATTATATGAATGATATCCAAAAATAATTGAGTTATATTGGTAAGGATTTTGTTGAAAGTGAATTAAAGGAAAGTATTAATATTGCCTCTGTTAGTAGTATTATTAGTTTGAAAAGTATAGCTAAGGTTGCTTGAAGAAATCAAGAGTTTAGATAGATGTCTAAATGGTAAAAGTAAAACTTGGTTAAATTATATTAAAACATTATTAAAAAATCTGCAAAATTTGGAAAAAGGTAAAACTATATCAAAGCTTATAAAAATGGCGAAACTATATCAAACACTTAGTAAAAATTTAGCGAAACTAAAGGTTTTACTATTTTGCCAAATCCAAAATGAGTTTAGACAAGCAACCTTAGGTATAGCAAATATTAATGATAATGATTTAAGATTGACTTTACTATCACGATCATTTCTAATACTAAATTAATTATTAGTAATATTATTGATTTAACAGTTAATATTAATGATATTAATAAAGAGAAGGATTTAATATTACTTCAACATAAATATAATTTTTAGATCTAGCTGATTTGATTTATGATCCTAATGATATATTAAATAGATTTTTAGAATATGAAAGATGCGTTGTAAGAGGCGTGCTAGAAATCAGCTGATTTCACTTTACTATAAGGCTGACTCACCCCACCTGATAATTAATTTTGATTGGCTAAAAAAATTATATATAAATACTATGAAACTGAAAAGTAAAATAGTTAAATTATAATAGTTAAATAGTAAATAGTCAAATAAATAAAAATAAAATTAATAAATAAAGTTATCTTTTGATCCATAAGTTTCTTTTTTTGCTAT